AACTGCTTTACTTACCCATCTGGTTGGTAATAAGAGTGCATTACCTACCCATAATGTTGGTACTACCCGTAAGTGGGTTACTTACTCAAATGTTGATAACAATAATAAGTGCGTTACTTACTCATACGTTAGTACTAGGAGTAAGCGCATTACTTACCCATATGGTTGGTACCATGAATGAGTACATTACTTACCTATATGGTTAGAATTATATATGAGTGCATTGTCGCCGCCCTCGCTTGAGCGTAGCTGATCTCGCTGTAGACGGGAAGTTCGCGACGGAGCGGTCGACGAAATGGGCTTCTGCAGTTCGGCGGAAGTTTTGGTCGAGCAGGCTCTGCTCGACTGAATCTGGTCGACGAGCTCTGCGCGATGAGCTCTGGTCGACGATCTCTGCGCGGCGAGCTTCCGTCGAAGAGCGCTGGTCGAAGAACTCTGGTCGAAGAGTTCTGGTCGAGAAGTTCTGCTCGGCGGATTCTGTTCGACCGAGCAGAGTCGAGCTGATCGACCGAAGTTGCAGAGTTGCGAACTTTTGCCAGGAGATTTTGGCGAAGTTCTACCTGCGGAACGGCATCACGTGGTCGACGGTGCGCACCTGGCGAAACCGACGACACGTTTTCTACCTGGCACCTGCGCAATATGCTTGATGGTGAAACCGCCAACCTGCACCTACTTGGTAGGTGCGCACATCTGCGCAGATAGACAACCTGCGACTGCAGATAGTCACATGCGACTGCAGTGCTGGCAGACCGCGCGCAGTGCAACGCTGGCAGACTACTCTGCTGCAGCGTTGGCAAGCCGCTCTTCTGCTGCGCTGGCAGAGTTCGCCCTTGCTAGGAGTTCCATGCCATTCTAGTCCTTTTGTTCTGCATGCCTCATTGTTGTATTCCATTCTTTCCTATGAACTTTGTTATTGCAAGTTGTTCTTTCCTTAGTGGAATTCTTGCCAAACTTCTCAGTGAACATAGCAAGCAGTAAGAACGCTAGCAGAGCGCTACGATCACTCGCACAACCCCGTGCCCTCCTCCGTAGTCCACTCCCATTGTGTAGTGACTCTCCGCATGCATTACTTATCCATATGGTTGGTACTAAGAGTAAATGCGTTACTTACCTGTATGGTTGGTACTGGTTAAGATTAAGTACGTTATTTGAAAGGTTTTTACTTACTTAAGTGGTTGATACAAAGAATATATGCGTTATTTTACGTAGAGCTGGTACTTAGAGTTAGTGCACTACTTACTAGTATGGATGGTAGAATGAATGAGTGTGTTACTTACCCATATGGTTGGTACTAAAAGTATGTAAATTTGTTACTTAATCATATTTGTTAGTAATAGGAGTAAGTGCCTATAGTTGGTACTAACAATAAGTGCGTTACTTACCAATATCCATGGTGCTAAGAGTAAACGTGATACTTACTCAAATGGTTAGAGTTAAGAATAATTGTGTTACTCCCCTCTTTGGTTGGTACTAAGAGATAGCGCGTTACGTATTCATATGGTTGACAGTGTGGGTAAATGTGTTATTTCCAGTCCTTCGGCGCGGAGACCAGGTCTAGACACCTCCACCTTTGCCTGGTGCACTCCCAGCTTCCCTCCCCCGATCTCTAATCCCAAGTACTGCACCGCCTTACTCCGAACTTTCACTTCTTCGGGTGATAAGTTCAACTCACGTTGCGAATGGCCTTCAGGATTCTCTCCACGTCCCGGACAAGCTGCTCCTCCGACTCGTTGAACACTACTACGTCGTTAGGCCGCCGCCAATATTCCCCTCGGCACTCCATCCATGGTACACTAGAATACGGCCGGTGCGTTTCTCATCCCGAATGGCATGAAGTTCCATTCGTATTGGGCATCTGGGCCGCGAAACGCTGTCTTTCTTTTGTCTTCTTCTCCGATCGGTATCTGGTTGAACCCTTACCGAAGGTCCAAGGTCGAGATTACCACAGCTCCTTGTTACTTGTCAATTTTTTTTTGGCTGATTGCAAGGATCAGCTCCTTGCACTTCTCCGTACACACTTCCACGTCTTTCGGGCTAATCCATTGCCTATGGTGATACTCAAGTATCTCACTGCTCGGTTGGATTTTCATATCTTGCACCTTGTACACCCCTAGCTTGCTTAGGGATTGCGTGAATGTCTTCCGATGTTGACGTAGCACATTACGCAGCGCCTCGGCGGTCGGCTCCCCTAACCCTTCGCCTCTTTGACGTTCCATCTCTATCGAGGTTTCGGCCTCCCCGTCTCGCACTATTGGATCGGCCGTCGGCGCTGGCCTTCCTTCTTCCTCTTCTGGATTCTTGGGCGGTACCCCCCACTTCTGTACTCCCTCCCTCTGCTTCCTGGTCTTCAGCCGCCATAAAAGCCCATCCTTCACGTATCCTCCCCTCCAGCCGCTCTTCGATCATAGCCAGCTGCCCCTTCCGCCTTCCGACCTCTCCTTCTTCCCGATGCCTCTCGCTGAAAGCAATCTCCCGCTCAATCTCATTGGTCTTCAGATGCATCCGAATCGTCTCGATCAGCCACGTCCTGACGTTTAGGTCCATGCTGTCCCCAAGGCCACCCTCCGTTGACGTTCCGTCACGAACGGGTGCGCTATGCCCTGCCAAATGTGGCTTATGGCTGCCTATCCCTCTGCGGCCGTTGACTCCTCCCACTTGTGCGTTCGGGTGTCGAACATCATTCCCAGCCCCGGCTCGTCTCCCTCCATAATGAATCTCCGCCCATTCTTAAACGAAACCAGCGTCGGCCATGCACTTCTCGGCTCTCCTAGTATGTTACACTGTTACTGCTTCGGGTGGTCCGGGGTCTTGATTGGGGCCGCCAACCGGTTGGGTCCCAACACGTCATGAACCAGCCTCGGGTGCGGCCTCTGCATCAATGCTAACGAGTGCTTCAAGAACGCCGTTCTGCTAGTACCTTCTCGGCCGATGAGCTCAGGACCCCAGCTGCGCCGCGCCGGCCAGCACTCCTCTCCCCAGCACTTCGCAAATCTCAGTGTAGGCTTCTTTCACTAGTTTCATCTTATCGTCTGCCATGTCGACGATCTCTAGGATGTACAAGACCTCCCTGTTTCTCCACTAGATCAGCTCCAGCACCCTCTTCATTTCTCTGAATTGTTAAGATAGCACTAGGAGCCACGGCTAGAGAGAATGGTTCAAGTAGTTGACTAGCAAGGGTGTCGAGGTACAAATGTAGGAAACCCTCATTGAACTTAGGGTGAGTTAAGTTTGTGCTAGAAGCTAAGAAATGAACCTAAACTGAACCAAAAGTGTAACTCGCTCTAAACATGGCGAAATAACAAAAGAACACCACGATAAATTCCAGAGCGAGCTTCTCCAACACACCCCCAGGCTAGGTGAAGCTCTGGAGCAAAACACCTAGCAAATCGGAACACCCCCAGAAGTGGCAAGAGGAGTGAGCCCAAATGCGCGTACGTGGAAACGGTATAGAGCAAGGAGAGCCTTGGTGTAAATGTCACCAAGGTTGGCAGTAGCGGCCACCTTGCGAAGGCAGAGGAAGCAAGACTGCACCAGCTTGCGCAAGAGAAAGTAGCGAACCTCGATGTGTTTGATGCGAGCGTGATAGACATGATTTTGAGTGAGGTGTATCGTGCTCGCACTGTCACAAGAGAGCGTCATAAAGGGCTGAGAGTGACCAAGCTCAGCAAGGAGAAAGGAGAGCCAGCGAGCCTCCTAAACTGCTAGTGTGCCTGCGTACAGCTCACCCTCGCATGTGGAAAGGCAAACAAAGGATCAACGAGTGGAACGCCAGCTAATGAGGCCACTGCCAAGAGTAAAACCATAACCATGAGAGGAGCGGTGATAGGGGCGAAAACCAGCATAGGAGGAATCACTGTAACCGGAAAGAATGGGGGAAGAAGAGCCACCAAGAGTGAGAGCAAGATTAGGAGTAGCGCGGAGATAGCGATGAACGCGCTTGGCAGCCACCCAGTGTACGTCAGTGTGGCGACCAAGGCCAACAAAACGAGAGAGAACACTGAGGGGGTAAGCAAGGTCGGGCCGAGTGAACATCAGGATAGGGTCGTAGCTCTGAAGAGGGAGAGGGAATGGCAGGGGCACTAAGCTGATGGTTAGCGGGAAGAGGAGTGGAAATTGGCTTGGCCAACGACATTTCAAAACGCTCAAGAATGGAGTGGATGTAGAAGGATTGAGAGGGGGAGATGGTGCGCACAGCACAATCACAATGGATCTTCATGCCGAGGTAATGACAAAGCTCGCCAAGATCCTTGCACAGGAGACGCGCCTGGAGGGCCTGCTTGACAGTGGAAGATGATGTTGAGAAGCCAAGAGAGTGAAGAGCGGCGGCGAGTTTAGCATGCCACTCGCGCGGGGCCTGCTTAAGACCATACACTGGGCGCTTCAGCTTCTAGACAGTGCCTAGAGGGAACGGGCGAGGATAGCCAGCGGGGCGCTCAAGGGAAATGCGTTCATGAAGCTCGCCCTGGAGAAAGGCATTGGAGACATCCATGGAGTGAATCTCCCAATCCCAGAAGGCGCCTAGATCAAGAAGGAGACGAAGAGTGGGGAGACGGGCAATGGGGGAGTAAGTGGCAAAGTGATCAATGCCTTCACATTGGGTGAAGCCTTTGGCACAGTAATGGGCTTTGAAGACAGGGAGCTCACCAGGCAGCTGAAAGACCCATTTGCCCTCGACAATGGTGGCGCTAGGGGGGGGGACAGAGTCAATGTAAAATCGAGTTCTGGTAAAAGCCTCACACTCGGCAAATGATGGCAGCCATCCACTCAGTTGCATGAAAGCCAGACACTGCCTCGAAATAGGTCTGAGGGGTGGGAATGGCGGTAGTGTCATCGAAGAGAAGAGTGGGAGAATTAGAGAAGTCGCCAATACTGACACAGAGGTGGGGTGAAATGGGATGAACAGAGAACAGCTCTTCAAACCGATCCTCGAGAAGAGCAACGTTTTGAAAGGGAGAGAGACGAATAAAGAGAGCATGGTATTTAAAATTGGACATTGGGTCATGGAGCGGGTGAGACGCAGAGAAGGTGGGGGAGCAGGAGTAGAAGGGAGGGTAGCTGAAGGAGGTGCTGAGGGAGAGGGTGGGGGAGCACGAGCAGAAGGAGAGAGAGGAGAAGGATGTTGTGAAGGAGAGGGCATGGGAGCGAAAGAGGAAGAGGGAGGAGGAGAGGTGCCGGAGATGACAGCAGAAGGGGGGGTGGAGGGGGCAAGGAGGGGAGGCGGAGCGGGGAGAGGAGGAAGTGGAGAAGGAGAGGGAGCAGCAGAGGGCAGCGGATCAAAGTCAGCCCAATGAAGAGAGGGAGGAGGAGGGGTGGGTGGGAGTCTCATCAAAGATAACATCCTGGCTGCGAATGAGGTACTGAGAGGAGGGATTATAGAAAAGGTAGCAAGGTCAGTCAGCGTTGATGCCAATGAACGCACAGAGCTGTGTCTCGGGAGCGAGCTTCCCACCCTGACATGCTCGATCAGCAGGATTGATGAGGACATGAGCGACACAGCCCCACACCCGAAGAGGGCGGGCGGAGGGCTGGCGGCCAGTCCAGAGCTGGAAGGGTGAAATGGAAGGGCGAAGGGGATGAGGGCGAAGATTGGAAAGAAGAGCAACATGAACAAGAGCGTAGCTCGAAAGAGAGTGTGGAGCAGAGGAATGAGTAAGGAGACAGTGAGTGATCTCCATGAGTGTGCATACGACGCTCGGCAACACCATTCTGTTCAGGAGAATACGGAAGTGTGGAGATTTGGCGAATGCCATAAGAACTCGCCACCACCATTAGAGTGAGGGCGTGCGACAGGACGGCCAAAGTGAAGGCGCACCTGCTCAGCCCAGCGAATGATGAGGGAGTGGGCGTCATATTTGGCACGAAGGTAATAGACAGTGGCAAAGCGAGTAACGATGACCCTAACGAGAGGCAATGGGAGAGGGACCCCGGAGGTCCATATGAATGACGTTCCGCACGGGTCGTCCATCCCTCGGCCTTCCTCAGCTCGGGAATACCCTTGGCATTCCCAACCGGCTACTGCCAAGTTGATGGGGCTCCAGGCTTCCAACTGCTTCGCTGTGATATCTCGGATGTTGTCCACAGTCGCTTCCTCCTTCTGTGGGTACTCCTCTAACAGCTGGAGAGCATGATGCCGCGCCATCCGGCTCACCACCGGGTCTTTCTCAACATGCACCCATTTCCTGACGAAACATCCTGCTTTCAGTGCCGCTGCCAACCCCGTACCTATACCCCCGTAAAGCTCTAGGATACATAAGGCGCCCTCCGGGCACCATACCCTGCTGTTCCGTTCCTTGAGGGGTGGCACTATCCCCTTCTCTTCATGCTCCTCCACTCTCTTGGCGAACTCTTCTCCGTACTGTTCCCAGGACCAGTCATCCAGCGCTTCATCCAGATTGGCCTTTTCGGCCCGATACGCCGCTTTAGGTTCTTGCTTCACAAACCGCATCGGCACTGTCTCCACCGAACTCTCCGGATCCCAGTATTGCGCACGGTAGAGCATCTCTTCTTGCCACATGCAAATCCTTGGCCCCACCTTGTAGATTAACTCCATCCCTACATAGTCTTCAGATTGTGACACCCCGCATTGCACCCGAATACAACACTCCTTGTCGGTCCCCGCTGCAGCACAATCCCTGCTGGCTGTTTTATGCTCGGCATCCATTTAAGCCCCGCCTTCCGCCGTCATCAGCAAAATTCCCCATTCTACGAGTCGATCCGGCGCATCTAGCTTTAGCTACTTCGCCAGTCCCTTCCCGATGATCACGTGGTGTACTCGGGTGTCTATACTCGCTTGCGCCACGGGCAGCCTGCCGACTATCAGGCTTCCCTATTCTGCGATGAGCACCGAGGCTTAACACATCAGGCGTTCATTCGGGTGCCGCCGCATTTCGTGGCTGTTGGCCTCCTCTCTCGCAACTGTACGTCTGGGTCGGCTGGACAAGGTGCTGGTCACTTCAGACACCGCCGGTCTCGACCTGAGGTCCAAGTCGCTCCGTTCTCTTGGGTGGACCATCAACGAGTACTCCCGTACAAACTCCCTCTTGGTCAAATCCTCTTCCATTTCGCCAATCGCCAGCATAGCACGTGTTCCTGCTTGCTGCTTGCCGGTCTTCCCGAGCTGAAGCTTCAGCCTCTGTATCTTGGCCCGTAGGTCTTCTGATCCGCCTTGCCCTCTCGTCATGCGTAACATTCCTCTGCTCGATGCCCCTTCTTCCCCCAATGCTCGCACATCAGTTTCGATGGGCAGTCACACTTCAGATGCCCCAACTCCCCACAGGTGTGGCAGCGCCGCGGATCTCCCCTCTCTATTGGTCTCCTCTCAGTCTCTGGTATGGTCACCGCTGCCCAGCTAGTCCTCGCCCAGGGCTTGCTCTCCCCGTCTTCCAGGTCCAATAGTCGCTGCGCGTGTTCCGTCCACTTCGCCAAATCGTTTACTTCGCGCAGAGTCTCATCCGCTCCAATGCCGTATACCGCCATGCAAACCACTGTTCGCAGGTCCTCATCTAGCCCCCTCACGAATTTGTTGGGTGCAAATTCACTTTGCACGACATCCTGCCGTCTGTTTGTACGAGTATGCGTGTGCGAGTGCATTTGCGTGTGCATGGTGTGTTCGTGTGTTTGTTTGCTTTCGCAATTTTCGCAGGAAGAATTGCAGGTACTCGCACAATGTGTGCTTCGGCACAACATTGTACGCGTTATGAACAGTGCAAGCAGAAAGGACGAGCTCGCAAAGGAACATAACATGGAAGCTTTGCAGCCCGGTTCAATTTATTGCGCAGATTCAGGCGAATTCCTTCCTCGCTGGAATTTTGTTTCTACGCGGTTCGACGGCGGAATGCTACCCAAGTCAACGCTAGTACGCTAGCACTCCAACGCTAGGCAAACGCTGTCCGAGCCATAACTTCGTAATGGCAGAACTTTTCGCGAGGCAATTTAAGCTCTTGGAGCGAGCTTCGATATAGAGAATTCTCAGCTTAATCCGATCGACGGTCTGCACGGCACGCTGCGCGACGTTCAAGGTACTCTTGCTGTTTTGGCTAAGTCTTTCTTGACTCCTCTCTCTACAAACTCGGACCCGAGGATAGGGGCTGGTCTTGTGCCAGGCACCCAGGGACCCTTGGAGGTGACCCAGAGGAGAGGTTTTAAGTTTGATTAAGTCCTAATAGCTTGAGTTTATTAGGCCCTTACACCAACAAGCTGGTATCAGAGCTGCGTTATAGCGATCCTCGTTATAGGTAGCTATGGCGGGCAACACCTCGGCAGGAGCTGGTGAATCTTCAGCCCAAGATCGTAGCGGCAGCCAAGATTCTGGTGTTTCGGCGCCAAGGGGAGCGCGAACAAACCAGGGCTCGCTGATCAAGGAGGTGCTGAAGAACTTCACCGTCGAGAAGTTCAATGATGAGGGCTATGATGATTGGGCCTGGAAAATGCAACTCTACTTCCGTCAGATTGGATTGCTGAAACTAATGATTGGGGAGGAGCCTAGACCGAGTGACCCCGCCCTGCAGGAAGATTGGGACGAGCGCTCCTCGGCTGGCTACTACTTGATGTCGCAGAGTTTGGAGCTGAACCAGCGTCATCACGTCATGCACCTGCTGCCGGAGGTTGAGTGCGGTCCGAAGGCGTGGACGGTGTTGAAGGAGCTGCACGCCCCTACCTCCGTCGCTGCGACGCTCATGATGGAGAGGGAGCTGTCCGCGTTGCGCCTTAACGAGGGAGAGCCGGTGCAACCCATCCTGGACAAGATGCGTGATCTCTACGCGAAGCTGGCGATCGCGGGAATCACCTACCCGGAGCAGACCAAGTGCCTGAAGATGCTCTCGCTGCTGCCGGAATCGTGGCTTCAATTCACGAGCGGATTGAGCCTGCCGCAGAACCAGAGCTTGTGGACGCTCGAGTGGGTGCGGACGAAGATTCTGGAGGAGGACTTTCGTCGCCGCCAACTGAGGGGTGGAGACAACGGCAGCAGCGGCTACGGGATGCAAGGGAGCCGACGTGGCAGAGGACGTGGCTTCGGTGGTGCTGGACGCGGTGCAAAGAAAGACGACGACTCCAACGACCAACAAGGAGGTACCGGTTGGGGTCGCGGTGCGAAATCTGGACGTGGGGGCAAGTCGGGTGCTGGTGGCAAAATGAAAGGAAGTTGCTGGTATTGTGAGAAGGAAGGGCACCCCTGGTTTTTGTGCTATAAGAAACCCGATGGATGGACCCCCCAGAATCGTCACCAGGATGGCGGCGTGCGGAGGAACCAGAAAAACGGCGCCAATATGGTCGCTGATTCGTCCGACAACAACCCGAAGGGCAACGGCGGTGCGGAGAAGAAGGAGCGCACCGCGGGCCAATTCTTCCATGTGGGAGACAAGGGGGAGCAAGGAGACGCCTCTGCCAAAGTTGGAGCAGAGCTGCACCATCTGGACTATTGGGTGTTGGACACAGGCGCTGCTTGGACGATGACGCCGCGCAAGGACCTGCTGGACGAAGTACGCGCTGCACCGATCAATGAGGTGTGCTCCGCCTCTGGACACATGTTGAAGGTGGCTGGTGCGGGACGAGCTGCGTTTAAGGGAGCGGATGGCAAGCCGGTGGTGCTGCACGACGTTCTCCTCGTCCCCGACCTGAAGGCCAACCTTATCTCCCTCCGTAAGCTTGGCAAGGCTGGGGTGAACACCAACACGGATGGGGCACGCACTTATAAGGGGAAGCTGGGCAATCGGGTGCTTTGGGATCTGCACGAGAGCAAGGACGTGTACAGATCTATGTGGCAGCTGCCGGCCCTGGCGTGGCACGGTGGGGGGCAGGCTGGAGAGGGGTCTGCATCCCAGGGGAAGTGCAATGCCGTTGGAGAGGTTGGTGTAAAAGTGTCGGCCAGATCTGGGGAGACGGATTGGGCAACGGCACACCGACGCTTGGGGCATGTGGCAATGCCTTTGCTGAAGCAGCTGGAGAAGGAGCAAGAAGCCGTTGGAGCTGGTCCACATGGACTTGGTGGGGCCGCTGCCGGTGCAAGGGCACAAGGGGGAGCGGTATTTCCTAACCATAGTGGATGATTGGAGCAGGGTAATGTGGGCGTATCCGCTGAAGCAGAAAGATCATGCCGCCTCCACAATTTGGGACGATTGGCTGCCGTTCATGGAGAAGCAAGCGGAGTGTGTAGTGAAGCGGATCAGGACAGACCGGGGTGGTGAGTTCCTTGGAGCTGAGATGACGGCATGGCTCAAGAAGCAGGGCATTCAGAGGGAGCTGACCACGGCTTACACCCCACAGTCCAACGGTGTAGCAGAACGGGCGAACC